TCCTTATCGTGCAACTGAAAGTTGGTGATGGCTTGCGCCATCTATCTATTCTCGTTGATTTTTAATTATTCCAGAATTGGCCAAATACCCGAGAATAGTTTATATTTATTCCGATAGATGGCGCAAGCCATCAGCAACTTTCAGTTGCACGATAAGGAGATGCATTTTTCTTAATTTATGCACCTTATACCAGTACAATATTACATTTGTACTATTTTTTTCACATATATATATATAAACATACTTTAAGTCTATGGAGAGGTATAGGCTCTTTTTAGATCTTCTTTCTAAATTATAAATCTTTCTAGGCTCTCTTTGGATCTTTCTGAATTCTAAATCTATCTAGACTCCCTTTAGAGAGAGAGATCTTCTTTCTAAATATTTCTAGGCGCTCTTCAGATCTTCTTTCTAAATTCTTATAATTTCTAGGCTCTCTTTACATCTCTGACTATAAAATCTGACACTTTAAAGAATATTACCTAAGGGAGGATGACCTGTGATTACATGGTTATTTATGTCACATAATTAATACCTTTATAATATTCGATCCAGATGACAAACAAAAACATCTAGGAAGGATCTCAATCAATCGTCTTTTTATCCATAGAACTTCTATCAGCCAAAATAGGCAGAACGGTGTGTAAAGCTGAGTTTGAAGGTAATTAGTGAGATGATCAAAGAGAGATGGAGTTCCTGCCGACTTAATTGGACCAGAAGATGTCATAATTAAGCTCTCCTAAACTTCCCAACTTCAGCTTTAACTGATCAATCCCCGTGTGAAGTAGGTTGGGACGTTTGAAGTCCGCCAATACTTCAGACAGGATACATCATCAACATTTCTCTGGCTGCGCTGGGTCATTGTAACATGATCTGAGAATCATTAATATATAATACAATATAATGCGGCTTATGATTGTAAAATGACATTTGAAAATTATACCGCATGTGTTTCTTTTCAACGAAAAATCCAAATTTCTTTTAAGGAGAAATAATGATTATTTCTAACCTTATTGTGAAGAGGGATGATAAAAGGATAAACATACTTAAGGTTAGAAATAATCATTATTTCTCCTTGAAATAAATTTGGATTTTTCGTTGAAAAGAAATACATGCGGGATAATTTTCAAATGTCGTTTTACAATCATTAATATCAAAATTCGAAACTATTATAGGCGCGTATGATTCTTTTTAAAAATAAACAATTTCTACTGCCCTTACTGCAATGGAAAATATTAATGGGAGGGCCTGGCTCATCAGTGGTGAACCCTCCCAGCGGTTTCGCCAGTTTAATCTACCATACCGCTGTTTTCTTAACGCGCTAGTGCACATAATATATTTGAATCATACACTGCGTGACATTGAAAATAGAACACCAAGAAATAGTGGCCAGAAAGTGATGAAACTCGGCAGACAGAGAGAGACAGGGACGAACAATAAGTGATCTTTATTTCAAAATGATAGTCATAATACAGAGCTAGAAGCTTAGTAGCAAGTAGGACCACCGCGGACGGCGATGCACGCAGCAACACGTCTAGGTAGAGAGTCATTCAGAGTACGGATGGCGTCCTGAGGGATGGCTCTCCATTCCCTCTCAACCATTTGCCACAGTTCGTCTTCTGAACGCGGCTGTGGCAAGGCATGCAAACGGCGTCCAATGATGTCCCAGACGTGCTCGATTGGTGAGAGATCAGGAGAGTACGGTGGCCAGGGAAGCATCTGTACATCTTGCAGAGCTTGTTGGCTAATGCGAGCAGTGTGCGGTCGGGCGTTATCCTGCTGATAAAGGGCATTGGGTACCCCCTGAAGGTAGGGGAGTGTCACCGGTCGCAGCACATCATCAACGTATCGTTGGGCCGTCATAGTGCCCTGAATACGAAGTAAAGGTGACCTGGAATCATACGCGATTGCGCCCCAAACCATGATTCCACGTTGTCGCACGGTGGGGCGTTCCACAATTGCTGCCGGATTGGACCTTTCTCCACGTCGACGCCACACGCGTACACGGCGACTATCACTGGACAAGCAGAAACGCGACTCATCTGAGAACACGACCCTGTGCCATTCCGTCATCCACGTCGATCTAGCCCGGCACCATTCCAAACGTTGGCGCCTATTCGGTGGGGTCAATGGCAGTCTTCTTAGCGGACGGCATGAGTGCAAGCCATTAGCAACCAATCGACGGGAAATGGTTCTGGTCGAGATGGAATGATCTAGGGTGTCTTGCACATGTTGCAGGATGGCGGTACAAGTGGCTTGTGGGGCCGCCACTGCTTGTCGAAGGATACGCCGATCCACACGTGCTGACGTCACTCTGGTTGCACCGACATTCCTATAAATTGCCACATTTCCTTGTTACAACCATCTTCTCCACAGTCGGTGCACCGTGGACGCACCAAGGTGTGTATCAGCTGCGATTTGACGTATGGACCAACCTGCCCTTTTCAGTCCGATCACCATGCCCCTCGTAAAAGCGTCTGTCTGCTTGAACTGCCTCCGTTTACGATGACCTGGCATTCTCTGTTATTACACGTCTCTTTTGACACAAGAAAAAAATTTCTACAATGATTTTCCTTGAAGAAATAACGACACGAATAATGTCCTTTCTGCAAGTTCCTTCCCTTATATCTTACTCCATGTGCGCACGAGAGCTGCGCATTTTACATCATTTGCATAACTCGGTTAGGCGCGTCTACCCTGAAATTTGCATAATTTTCTGGCCACTATTTCTTGGTGTTCCATTTTCAATGTCACGCAGTGTATATGAAAAATTTGTGTTAAAACATCCCCACCGTTTTATCCTTACTTTTTTAGCTGCTAAGTTAGAAAAAAACGTCAAAATATTGAATAAAAATTAGATAACAATTTCGTGGTCGAACGTATTCTATTTTGTTCCATTTGATTTTATTAGTCACTAGCCGAATGAGCCGGGCAACGCCCGGGTTTTACCCGATTAAATATTTTTATTCAAATACTATTCGTTACAATTATAAATTGGCGCCATGGATGTCACTCTTGTGAAACGTCCCGCTGTCGGTGGACGAGCGGGTAACACCCTCGATTCCCGACAGTCATGAACCGGGATTGAATCCCGCATTAACATTTAGTTTAATATGTGAACTTCACATATTATTCATTGTTTCAATTATCATGAACTAGGTTTCTCTTGTTGAGCGGTACCTAATAAAGTGATTTTGAACCGGGAAACGTCCCGCTCCAAACTTTGGGTATTTTTAAAATATAAAAATAAAAATGTAAATTTTCAGAACGATATTTGAAAATTGTATTATTTTGATTTTTTATATGATTATATTTTAAATTTGATATATACATAAAGTGATACCAAGTGATTTCTTGCCCCTACACCGTCATTATGTCACTCAAGGTCACTATCCAATCCCGTCGCGCCGTGTGAGGGCTCCACGTGGTTGTTTACTTCACGAAGTTACCGCAGTGAGGCGCTGGTTGCGAGTGAAATATGGAAAATTTGTTGATAATTTGTTAATAACTCCAAGGATATTCGAGATAGAAGCCTGAAAATTTTCCTATAAGTTTTTCCAGATTCAACTCTATATACTGTTAAAATTTCAGCCATATTAGTTACGTATTGTGGACGTGTATAGCCGACAAACATATAGGGATTTACTGATCACAATTTCATCATGATTTCAATAAAAACAATCCTCTATATTATAATTAAGGTGAAATCATTATGCTTCCAGGGATAATTTGAGTCAAAAGGCAATCCATCAAATAAGTTTATATGAAAAAGGGCGTACATGGATCTGTAAAGAAAATTGATAAAGAGTGAGCAATCGAACAATTATCGCAAAAAAAAGAATAATTAAATAGGCTTCCGAATTACTTTAAATAATTATTTAATTAGTTATATGAGAGATTTTAAATATAAAATAAAAGTTACTATCAATATTTGAAACTATTTTATACGCGTATGATTCTTTTTAAAATAAAACAATATCTACTGTCCTTACTGCAATGTAAAAATTAATTGAAAATTGCAGTAAGGACAGTATAATTTTTTTTATTTTAAAAAGAATCATACGCATCTAAAATAGTTCCGAATTTTGATAACAGATGGCGCGCTAATGCATCATAATATAAAAGTTACTATGTACATAAGCCAAATCGACCCAGCAGTTAGAGCAAGAGGAGAGAACTGAGTTTTCCTACCTTCCACGTGGCGCCACTGTTTTCCCTGACCTGTCCGTCCAGTCAAGTTAAGAGGGAATACCAGGAAACTATGTCCTCCTGACAATATTTTGAGAAGTTAAAGAGATATATTTCTTTTGTTGATAATTTTAATTTAGATATATGTCTAAATTCCATGCCCGAAATCTTAAAGTAAAATTTTAAAAACTTTTTGAAGAAGGAATCAAAGTTTAGAGTGACGAGTGTCTTTTATTTTTGCTGTATAATCGGCAAGCTTTCGGACTATGACGTCCTTCAACAGGCAACTATCCAAGAAACTAGAAATATACATGAATATATATATATATATATATTTGGTATAATAAGGTGAGAAGAGAAATAATCACACCACAAGTTGGAAGAGGAACCCAGGTGACCAGAGAGAGACGGGCGGCCGTTCGTGTCGCAAACAATCCCCCACTGTCCTAAAAGTCCCGAGGAGTTAACTGCCGGACCCCAGGGGTCGCCCCTTGGAATGTCGCTGGTATCTTAAGTGACCCTCCCGTCTCTCTCTGGGTTGTCTGTAGCTTGGATTTATTATTCCTGGAAGAGTATATATTATGACATATATATGTGTAAATATTTACATAAATAGAAATCTTCAGATGGCTTTTGCCTTTCCCTTAATTTTATTGCAGTCAATCTTTCCTCAAAACAAATTTATTCACATAGATAAAAATATTAAAATATACAAGTATCAGAGTCATCAAGCAACAATTCTTAATCAATTCTGTCACCGTTTGCTTTTGTGAATGGAATAAATACCCAAATATGGCCATTTCTTATAAGCATCGGTAGTTCAGTGGTAAAATACTCGCCTGCCACGCGGGCGGCCCGGGTTTGATTCCCGGGTTTCTTTACAATTTTTAAAACTCATTTATATATATTTATATGTATACTGTATATATTATACAAGAATGACATCCACGGCCCAATTTATAATTGTAACGAAGAGTATTTGAATAAAAGCATTTAATCGGGTAAAACCCGGGCGTTGCCCGGGCCATTCGGCTAGTTTTTGTATAATAATCATTCATTTCATTAAGAAAATTTCTAATTATGTGAAAATTTATGTGTATATTTATATTATCTTCTAGTTTCTTGGATAGTAGCCTGTTGAAGAACGTCATAGCCCGAAAGCTTGCCGATTATACAACACAAATAATGGTACTCGTTGCTGTAAGCTTTTATTCCTTCTTCAAGATGATGTCAGGCGATTCTGTCAAATTATTTGACAAACATAGCAGTTTTAATCTTCTCAGTTATGCGGGAAGAATGTTGTTTATTTGTTAAGTGAACCAATCTCCCAGCCTTCTCATTGGACGAATGTGGCCATGTTTGTACATAAAAGAGGGTTGAAACGGAATGCGAGGAATCGTGGAGTGGTGTTCGAGTGGAGACGCTTAAAGCGTTCTCTGTGTACTTGTCTGGTGATTCTCCTCGCATACCTGTGAAACCCCGGTCCTCTCCTTATAAACGCTGCAAATAAAAGATAAGTACTGTTTATCTTATTTAACAAATCGTGTTTTATTTATTTATTTATTTAACCCCTTTTTGTTGTTGGTGTTGTACTCTTGAGTGTACCTTTTTCTGTGTTTAAGTTACTCTTACTGTAGGCCCTAGTTTATTGTTTTTAGTGTGATAACCCGTAATAGTAACTTTTGTCAATTCCTTCTCTTGTAAAAAGGAAAGGTTTCCCTGGAAGTATGGGGATTTCATCTTAATTCTGGTATCTCCAAAGAACTCTCCCAGCAAGTGGTGTTGTGGCAGGACATGATCAGCTACCACCAAGCCAGCTGCAAGCCTCTGCCCCGTGGCCTCTATCTCGGCTATGTCAAGCTGAAGAGCTCCGTGGAGCTGATTCGTGTGCTAGTTCCCGTAGCTCATCCTAGCGTGCTGCCTCACACGCGTGTACGGGAGAACCCTCACGTGTCACGAGAGGAATGGGCCTGGTTACGTGGGCAAGGTCCGCCTGGTGAACTGCAGATGCGGTTCCAGCATGCGGTAGGAGCCGCGGCACGCTCGTTACTCGCACGTCTGGAAGTGGACGACCCCGTGTCTCACCGGATCTACGACGGGGAGGTGGTTGAACTCAGCCCTGATGTCTCCTTCCTTCTGGTGCTACCGGCCGCCGAAACCGTCTGTAGCGTGCCCGGGGAACTCGACGGTCTGTCTTGCCGCCCGGACCTCGTGCCGCTGCCCGTCCAGGTCTTCGAGATGAGTTAGTAGACTATATTATGTGTATTGAATCAAAAACAAACGCTGATGGGCAATGTTTTTCTTTGTGTGGTTTTGATAGGGTTTCAGAGGTCTCTCACTGGTCCAAGAAAGTTTTTACTGACCTAATTCCAACTGAAACGTTATTTTACTTTTAGCTCCATTCGCGCTTATATGTGCCATTTATTGATTTTAAATTAAAAGAGAGAAAGCTTATGTGGATATTTTCTCAATAAAATAAATTTGTAGAGATCGTTTTGCCTTGCGAAAATATATAGAAATGGTCTGGATCTTCAGGGTCTATCCAGTTTCATCCCCATAGCGCTCTACTCTTGTATCTATTTGATTTTATAGCGGTATAATTTAATGGATGAAACATCTATTGTAGATGATTTATGGACATGGGGTCTTCATGGAGTTGTCTGAAATTTTAAACACATACTGTAAGTAAATACATCGTGCATTTCTCTTTCGTAAATTAATCGTAGATAATGCTGTTAAGCAGAAATTCGAATAGAATTGTTGTATTTTATACGTGGTCATCTATCTTGTATGGTGCAGTCCACATGGCCACCTACCAGCCCAACTTCATCACACTCTACTCCCGGCTCTCCTCCATCCTGGAGATGGACACCATGGTCGCTCAGCATGCCAACAGAGAGGTATGATCCTAAACTCACCAACATATTTGATTCTCAAGGATTCTGTGTACGCAGGCATTCTCAGCGACTGAAGTCGCGCAAGCAAAATCAAGGCTAAACGAACTGCAGGAGTTCCAAGCTCAGGCCGACAACACGTGGCGAGGCATGCGTTGGATCATGGACGTGATCTCCTTCGCCCGGGAGCGCCAAACTCAAGGTGCGCCGCTGTGGTACGGCAACAGTCCCGTGGACCCCTCACCCCCAGCAATCACGTCCCCTAGGAAACCTCGCAAAGTCCGTCGCCAACATCTACGAACCTCTGCTTCCTCCCAGTCCATCTCTGCTGAACGTAGTCCGGTGGAGATACGGCGCAGTTCTTCGACGTCCCGGCTTGATCTTCCACAGGTGGTGACAGATCACAGGACTCCTGAATCCTCCACGGTGCTTACAGTCTACCCAGAAGGTGGGTTGGTCTTCGCAGGTGGGAGGCTGCAGTTCAACGTGGGTCCTGCAACCACAGCTCGAGATGTACTGGAAGTGGTAGCCCGCAAGCTGTGTCCCCCGCATTGCCCCAAGGACCTCCATCTCGTGGCCATACTCGGCTCCAAGGAACGTCGTCTAGACGACGACTTCCACGCAGCCTCTCTCACACAACCCTGGACAAAAAGCCAACTTCTTGTTCGACGGTCGTGCTAACCCACCTTTCAAAGTTTTCATCACAACGATGTTCTAGAACTAGCTAGAACTACATATCGCCTCTCATGTTAGACCTTATATTCCCCCCATCAACCTACCCTAACATTGTTTATAACATGCCATATTATTTTCATGATTCACCTCCTAAAGTTTATTCCCCTATTCTTAAAAAAACCAACAGTACGATCTATGAAAAATTGAGCCAAAATTCTATTTATTCTTTATATTTGCCAAATGTCTGTTTATATACCAAATATTTTATACGGAAATAACAAAGTATCCTATATATATATAAAATTTGCTATAATTTTATATGAAAAAATCTTTCTACGATGTATATAATGTTATATCAATATATTTATCACAAGGTAAATACATCCTCTAAATCTATACAGTGAGTTTATTGAATGTGAAAGTTATTGTTAATCAAAATATATTTTTCTTTGAATATCCCTATCCGAGAGTTATCATCATCACCTTGAGTCTAGTCAGAAGTAGGAAGCATTGACGAATATGTTGATGAAATTGTTGAAAGTAAATCCAGATACAGTATCCACATACTGATCAAGTAATCGCTACTGCTGCTTCTAGCATGTCCCGCCACCCAATAACCGCTCCTGCATCTCTTAGATCCTTCTTAAGTTTATTACAACACCCAGAATTATCCTTTACCCTCCAATATATCCCATAATATTCCATTTATTTGGTCCAATCAGGTCCTAGACAACTTCTAATAACCCGTATACTATCCTCTCCCTATGTTATCTCTTTAAAAAGCCAGTATCCTATTGATAGCGTATCCTACTTCACCTGTTGCATAATTATTTGTTTAATGACATTTGAAAATTTTTTTCCCTGGATACTTTATTTTTTCGTTTACCATTACTCTTCACAATTCATCTTTTCATATTTCATCACCTAAGGTTTATAAATAAACCGTTATTTCTCCTTAAAATAATTTTTTCGTTCAAAAGAAACACATGAGGTATAATTTTCAAATGTCGTTCTACAATCATAAGCCGCATTATATTGTATTATAAATTATTTGTTTAACTGAAGTATGATACAACGAGCCCAGTGAGTAATCTATCAAACAGCAATCTTACCAGCTATCAATCTTATCCATCTCAATTAACCTATCCCTCCATATATGTAATATGAACCCTGAATTATTCATTTCATGCATCGTACTTCATATGCTCTATCCGTTTTATTTGCCCTATACCGACCATTAAATAAGTAATCAAACATTCCTCTTCACGTAAATCAGGTAAGATTGAATATTCTCCATGCTAGTTATCCTACAGAACTGTATAGGCTAAATAAGACCAAGTATTCCTTCTTAAGCAAAACTGACATTCTAACATTACACCTTTTCTGTTTATTCATTCTTAGTTGCATATTCCTCCTTATTTCTACTATGTATAAACAATGAACGATCCTTCCTTCAATATAAAAGCAAGAGAGTTGAAACATTGTCTTTATTAATTTAATTCAGTTTCCTATATTCACATACATTCTGGAAGTCATTAGAAGTTTACTTCTATATTGAATAGACGTTTAAATCTATTTTAGATTATCATAAAGATAAAGGCTGCCTGGCCAGCATTAATATTTCTTGAAAATAAAGATACTTCGGCCAGTATATCTTTTTATTATCTCGACGTTTCGACAAAAAACTTTTGTCCTCGTCAGGAGCAAACAAAAATTAAAACATTTGGCGTTAAAAAAAGTCGAGGTAATAAAAGATTTACTGGCAGAAGTATCTCTATTTTAGACTAGTTATAAACTCATCTTAGATTCGTCTTTTGTTTCACTGTTAATTGTATAAGAGAGGAATCGTCTAACCTAATTTTTGCATAGTTTCTCTATAACTTGTATTTTTATCCAATATATATATATATTTTTTAATTTTTTATTATAGATATTCTATATAAACTGTATAAGCTTTTCTTATATATCAGAGTAGGTATTGTAAAATATATAACGTCATAGATCAAATTTGGTTTTGTGCGCATATTAATGCTTCTTTTATTCCATTTAACTAATTATCTAAAAATACGAATAGAAAAAGAGTATTTTGGTATATTTTCTATTATAGTACACAATTCTTATTTCTTACTTCAGGTGACATCTGTCTTTTAAAGATAACAGTAACACATCATGTAGAGAACAACTTCCAGTTCCAAATAACTTTATTAGGTGCCACCGCTCAAAAATAGAAACCTAGATCATCATATTTACTGTGGGGGATATACAGGGTTTGTTCATTTACAATTATAATTCATTATAAAGAAAATAAAGTCTC